CTCGTTTTTCAGCTTTCAGGCTGAAACGACCGGGGCCTGTAAGCCCTAAGTTTTAGGCTTTTAGGCTGAATGTCCGGGACGGGCCCTGCAGGGCCTGTGTGGGCCAGTGTGGCTATGCAGTATGCCACAATGACACACATAAATCGAGAAATGGTCAAGTTTTAGGGGGTAAAAGAAAATCCAGATAATGGGGACAGTGCACTCAGGCTCAACTTCGAGCACAAGTTGGGAGCGTCAGGGAGCATGTGACGAAATAAGTGTCCAGATAGAATAGCGAGCAGGGTTGATCCAACCGCCGTGGGTACATCTTACCTGACAGGGCAGATTATGGGCTACAACTTTGGCTGGCCTTGTTGGTATGGCCATGCATGGGTCGCCGCGTCCGGTTGAAAGTGAATGCACAGTCCAACTGTGAACGAGACAGAGTTACATCGCCCAGGTGAGTGTGAGAATCGAAATCGAGCCAATCCAAAAATTTCAGAGGCTCGGGGCTCGAAGACCGAAATGGTTGGCAGTGCCAGCCAAAAGGAAAGAAAAAGCATGACGCTGGCGTTTCTGCAAAGCTTGGCACGCAGGGGAATCCGTCTTGGGAAAAACAGCTTCGGATGTACTGGTGGTTTATGACGACACCAACAGTTTAGTCGGGGATGCATGGGTGCCCAAACAGTGGGTACCTGAAGGGAACTATTAGAAAACTGGGACTCTCTTAGCTAACAACATAACAACCACTTTACGCAGCTGTAATGAACCCAGTCTTGGTAGATACTCAGACGTTGTCAATATCAGTAGTCCCAATATCTGCATCAAAGTCTCCAAATCATGGAGTGATAACTCAAACAGTATCTCATTACCATCAAAAGGAAGAGACTGGAGGGGGAACAGACAAAGGAGAAGATGAGAGATCACAAAGTAATAATCCCTTCAGATCCCTCTCCTTCTTCAGGCTTCTTCCCTCTCCACGTCAACGATGATAGTAAGCATATTCCTGATCACACACAATAGTGCCACGTGGCACTTAATCTCGTGAAGACCATGAAGACATAGCAGATTCCAGTGATGACGTCAACCTCAGGTGAGTACCCGACCTCCTTCAT